TAATGAGAGGAAAATCGAGTACCCAATTGATTTTTAGCGTGTATATAAAGGGGGAGTTTGCATGGAAGTTTGTAAACTCAGTTGGTTCATGCAGTCTACAATATACAGATAGAGTGAGTCTTAAGCCCGCTCTTAAGGTTTTAGATATGGAGAGTTTGAGCCAGCATTATAGATTAGTGCTAATTCTAATCATATTTGCGGTGGCTTTACCGTCATGTTTCTCGCAAACAACCCGACGCTTCGAGTTTAATGTAAGCTGGAGTGTCCACTCTTATTCTAGAGTAGTGAATTTCTCGTTCCCTTTCTCCATGCATTCCTCTCTTTTTTCTAGTCTTTTGGCTGAGTACAAAGGAAAAAAAAAAGGAGCGTTCTATCTTCGTTACGTGATTACCAAAAGAAAGTACGTAGGAAATTGAAAGCTTGATTTTTCTTTTTGGTTCTTTTGTTCAGGTTGAGTGGAAGAATGTAACTCGTTTGTGCAACACAAAGCCACTTCTAACAGTGAATGGAGAGTATCCAGGGCCAACCATTGCTGTCTATGAAGGTGATCATCTCGAGATTAAGGTCACTAATCGCATTGCCGAAAATACCACCATCCATTGGTGAGTTTAACTAATCTTAGATTAATCATACTGACTTTGATTGCGTTAAGCAATCGCAACTAATTACTAATTAAGTTGTTGCTTAATTATTATGAGTGCAGGCATGGTGTGAGGCAACTAAGAACAGGATGGGCAGACGGTCCAGCTTATATCACACAATGTCCTATAAGAGGTGGCAAGACCTACACATACAAGTTCACTGTGGAGTACCAAAGAGGCACTCTCTGGTGGCATGCTCATTTTGCCTGGCAACGAGCTTCCATTTATGGCGCTTTCGTCATCCATCCGCGCATGCCTTTTCCATTTTCCTCTCCGATTCAAGAAGAATTCCCCATCATCTTTGGTAATTATATGAAAAAATAAATAAATATAGAGGGCTAGTCTTTTTTTTTCTTCATGATTTTTTTAGTGAGAGTTCAAAATTTCTGTGTCTTCAATTGCTCACGTGTTTTGCTATTTCCCAGGTGAATGGTGGAATTCAGATGTAGGTGAAGTGGAAAATGAAATGAAGTATGGAGCTGGACCTAATAGTTCAGATGCTTATACCATCAATGGGTTGCCAGGACCATTCTATCCTTGCTCCGACAAAGGTATATATCCAAAACTTAAGGGTATGGTTAGGATTGTTTCTGTAAAGGCTAAAAGTGGTTTATGGAGAAACACGTGCTATATGCTTCCTCATGAAGTACTTTCAAGTGTTTTTCCATGAGTCACTTTGATTTTTAATTAAAATTTGAACGTGTAGATTTTATGAGGAGTAGTACTTTCTGCATAATTAGTCTCGAACGGACTAATTTTCAACCATATTTTTCTCTTTTCTACAATGAATTTACACGAATTTTCTTGTACTTATGCAGATACCTTCATCAAAACTGTGGAACATGGAAAATCGTACTTGTTTAGAATTATCAACGCAGCACTCAACGATGAGCTTTTCTTTGCTGTGGCTAATCACACACTAACTGTTGTGGAGACTGATGCCGTGTACACCAAACCATTCACAACCTCAGCGATCATGGTAGGTCCTGGCCAAACCACCAACGTTTTGCTCACTGCAAATCAAGTCCCTGACTCCTCGGGTGCCTTTTTGATGGCGGCCTGGCCTTACCTCACCTCCGTTTTCCCTTTCGACAATTCCACCACAGCCGGTTTCTTGCGTTACAAGAACACAAAGAGTGACACAACCAAATATCCGCCAAAGGCTCCTAGTACTTTTGCACCGGAAAAATACAACCTCCCTAAAATGGAAGACACAAAGTTTGTCACTATATTTAATAACAAGCTCAGAAGCCTAGCCTCACCTAAGTATCCGTGCAACGTGCCTAAAACTGTCGACAAGCGTGTCGTTATGGTTATAAGCCTAAATCTCCAAGATTGTCCAGCCAATGAAACCTGCAAGGGTTATGCTGGCAAGAAATTTTTTGCTTCTATGAACAACCAGTCCTTCATTCGTCCCGCCCTGTCAATTTTAGAATCACATTACAAGAAGCTCAGAGGCGCCGAGTACTCCACAGATTTCCCAGAGAAACCTTTGAAGCCGTTTGATTACACTGGTGTGGATCCAGTTTCGGAGAACATGAACACGAAATTTGGCACTAAGATTATGGAAGTGGAGCATGGAACAAACTTAGAAATTGTGCTACAAGGTACAAGTTTTCTTAACACTGAGAACCATCCAATTCATTTGCATGGACACAACTTTTTTATAGTCGGTATGGGGTTTGGGAACTTCAATGCTGCCAAGGATCCGGCAAAGTACAACCTCATTGACCCTCCGGAGAGAAACACGGTGGCAGTTCCAACCGGAGGATGGGCGGCGATTCGATTCAAGGCCGACAATCCGGGAGTTTGGTTCATTCACTGTCACCTTGAAGAGCATACTTCGTGGGGTCTTGCCTCGGGGTTTATTGTCAAGAATGGTCCAAAACCGTCTCAGTGTGTGCTTCCTCCCCCTGACGATCTTCCCTTATGCTGAGATTTTTGCATAGACGACTCGATTTAGTATTTGTTGTATAACGAAGGCTTTGAACTCTTTACTTCATTTTTTGTGAACATATATACCTTATCTAATATATAGGCTTTGTACTTTTGGTATTAAGGACCGCACTAGAGAGTTTTATGTGTGGTTGACATATTTTCACTGTACACACGTTATAATCGAAAATGAATAAAAAAAAGTAGTAAAATTGTTTTTTTTTTTAAGCTCTCCTTTCAATCCCATCTTTTGGAGAACTTACTTGGTATGGTCCAAGTACGTGCGTGAGGAGTTAGATTGGCAAGTTTTTGTGTATCTTTTGGCTCTAGGATCTCAAAGTAGCCGGATGGCTGTCATTGCCAAGGAGAAAGGACTATTACAAACATAACAGGATCAGTTTTCTTTAAGAAAATAATAATAAGACTACCAAATGGTTTAAAAAACTTGGAAATAATTATAAGATGATAAAGCGAAATTATTGTTACATTGAATGCCATTATTGTTACATAAGTTTGGTGGACCGATCTGTCTAAACTACTATAGTAAATTCCATGTTTTATCTAATTTTTAGCAATCTTTAAACTCTCTCTTACAAAACACTTTTTTTTAATGATCGTTTGGAAACGCTTCTAAAATGATTGAAAGCCATCGGAAAAAATATTTTTGGATGCTAAAATGATTAAAAGCACTTGAAATGCTTCTTACAAGAAGTACACACTTCAAATTTTTTTTTTTTAGGTTTCACTTGCATTTTTACCAAGGATTGGTCCAAAATAAATTTCACTAAAAACGCTTTTAACTATTTTAAAAGCACTTTTGAGTTTAGTAATTTATTTACAATAACAATTAACCTATCATACAAGATATATAATTTGTGATAAAAATAAAATAAGAAAGAGGGAAGGCTGAGACTCAGCTTGAGAAGCATGTTTGCTTTCACAAACTAAAGTGAGAGGCACGCAGCTTTTTCTATTTGGAACTACTGCCAGATTTCGAGTGGTACGCATGCATTAGCTACTTACCACTGGCAAATCCTACATGGAAAGTTCCGTAAGGTTGCTTAATAGGGCAATTTTGACATCATATGAGACTAACGTAAAAAAAAATAAGATAAAAATAATGATAATTTTACGATTTTGTAAAGGAAATTATTATTGGCATTCCAAAAATCTCATTCTACACTTCTTAGAAGTGTATTTTTCTTTTATAGTATAAAATATTTAGAGTATAAAATGAGATTTCTGGAATGCTAATAACAATTCCCTTCGTAAAAAGTGACTTGAGAATGACCACGTGATCAGAGAACCTTACTGAAAATTTTCACCATTAGAAGACAAGAATTATAGATAGTGAGGAAATTTCACTTGGAAAGCTGAAGTGTGACTGTGTAAGAAGTCTTTTATTCACTTTCTGCAAGGCAACAAAGACTGTGTGTGCTTTATGTGATGCCTTTGGTCACTCTGAAGTCAAAATTCCACTGCATTAAAATAATGACTAGGTGTATTTTTTTTTTGGAGACTTAATGACTAGGTATTTTTGGCAAAAGATTAAAGAATTGCCTAGGTTGCTTCGAGGTGCTCCCTTCTCTCGTCTTTCCAATGTTTTATATGTTGTCAATGCCGATAACAAAATGTTAGTGGGGACCTAGTTGATGAATTAGTTAAAGAGAGAAAGGAATAAAAGATAAAGTTGCACATAAACACACACAAAATCGCTTAAAATCGATGATGAATTTGCTAGATTGGTTGTTTACGATTGAGCTATCGCCGTGCTATTTAGCCTATGAGTTATTTAAGTATGTGTGATTTGTTGCTGGATTTGGGGACCGCAAACCCCAATGGTTGCTTGATTTCTCTGTAACGTTTTACATATTTTCACAATACGAGAGAATCTGTGGTATCTCCGAGTGTATAGAAACGGTTATAAAGCAAGTTCTCCAAGTATATCAATTTAGTATTTTCAATATTCTTGAGTGTATACACAATTACAAGGCATATTCTTTAAGTGTAACAATTCATAATTTGTGGTATATCCGAGTGTATATACACGATTACAATACAAGTTCTCTATTTGTATATCAACACAGAGTCGGTAGTAGCCTCGAGTAGACACGTTTAAAAGGCATATTATTCATGTATATCAATGCATATATACAGTCTAAGTATACACACACGGTTACAAGTAGATTCTATCAATGGAGAATTGAAGTATCCTCAAGTGTATACACACAAGTAGATTATCCAGGTGTTATCTGATGAGCATAATAGGGACCAAAGTTAGAGTTGAGTTCTTCTAAGTTTCTAAGTTAATTTCCCTATGAATGATTAGTTCATGATACCATTGCTAATCTCCACCAACTTTATCCACATTTTATAGATAGATATAGCACATATGTTTGATCTTTAGATCTATAAACACAGAACCAGAGATAGCAAACTAGCAAACAGCCAAACCATTCCCAACCCCACACCTTTTCCTTTTCTTTCACCTCCTCCAACATGCCCACCACTACCTCCATTCACTTTAATTCCTTTCACCCTCCTCCTCAAGTGCTCCATTGTTGATTGATAGTACCAAAAAAAGACCCAAAAACCAAAAGTATAAACAAAACCAAATGTTCTTCTCCTTCTTCTTCTTCCTCTGCATTCTCTTCCCTGCCTTCCCGGGTCTACCCAACCCGGGTGCGGCTCCCACCCAGTCATTCCTCCCAAACCGGACTCCCTCCCCACCCACTACAATCCCTGCATTCCCAGAACAATCCGACTTAGTCGGGTGCCCGCTGCACCTCCCCAATGAGCTCTTCCATGGCATAAAGTCCGCATGCTCCGCCACCAAAGGCGATGCCTCAGGTCACTTGCAGCGCAGCAGGTGCTGTCCTGCGCTGGCCTCGTGGCTCTACTCTGCCTACTCTGACACCGCTCTCGGCAGAGTAGGCAGGGTGGGCTCAGCAGTGGCCGGTCAGTCTTATGATTTGCCACTGCTGCCGGACGACACGGAAACTTGTGTTCAGGACTTGGGAAAGGCGCTGAAAAACAGAGGTATCGAGCTAATCAAGCCGAATGAGACCTGTGATGTTGTGTACTGCTATTGCGGGATAAGATTGCACCCCTTGAGCTGTCCCGAGGCGTTTTCGGAGAACGAAAGAGGGAAGCTTGTTGGGGATGAAAAGGTGAAGAAGTTGGAGAGAGATTGCTTGAGCAGCGGCGCCAATGGCAATTGGTTTCCTGGTCTTGGTGGCTGCTCCAAATGCTTGCACAGTCTCTACAATGTAAGTTCTTTTTCTATGTAATTGTGAAGTTTCTGTCTCTGTTTATTTATTGTAGCTTGTAGGCTGCATCTTTTGTTCCTATTTCCACAAAAATGAAGAAGAAGAATTGAATAGGGTTTCTTCTGGTTCTTCTTTCTCATTTGGAAAGTGTTAATTTTTTAGTGTGCCGAAAACACAGCCTATTTCACCAATTGACATGATACAAATTGTTGGAAATTTTTTTTTTCAAGTATCAAATCATTGAAATTATAACATTTTAATGTACTCATTTCCTATCACACTGAAAATTTTCTCCTTTAAATTAGTACCGTTTAGAAATAGTAGACGCGCCTAGAGACACAACTTGGCTACTTACATATATTTGTACTCAAATTATTGTGTGATAAATATGCAAAAGTAGCTCTTGAAAACAACTAAGATAAAGTTCTACACATGTCAAACCAACGAGGAACTCCTTAGAGAGCGAAGACAAGTATTTTCGATGGAGAAGTCCTATCATTGTAGAAAATTGACTATATTAACAGTATATTGATACTGTCATTTGAGAGCGTTTCCGAACCTTTATTTATTTCGGATTTTTGTTGTTATTTTGGATTGAGATTAGTTTGTTAGGTTCTTTTATTCGTTTGGAATATTGTTGGCTCTTCAAAGCAAGGTTAATGTGTAACAGTATTTGTATGGTAGCATGAAAATGATTTGGATGCTGCACCAAACCCTTGTTTCTTCAAGCAACGACTATCGCTTTCTTTCATTTACTTTCCTCTAACTAGAAAACTTGATTGCGTATCAGCTTAACAAGAAGAAAACTTCCAATTCAAGCAAATTAGGGGACAGGACCACCAAAATGCACAACAAAGATTGTCAGCTGATGGGTCTCACTTGGCTCCTTGCCAAGAATCGGACGGCTTACATCCACACAGTTACATCCGTGTTTCGGGCTATCATGTTAAGCACCGACGGCTCCGATCCTCGGTCGTGCACGCTCAACAGTGACGGAATGCCTCTCGCTGTCGATTCTTCTGAAATTTCTGATCAGTCCTCGTCCAGCATCCTCGCAGCTTCCGTCTCGTTCTACATTGTAATGTCACTTTCTTTGTTTTTTATGTTGTCGCTTGCCCTATGCTCCATCCAAAACTAGTCGAGATTCACAAATATTATGAACCGTGATGCGTTGTTAGTTTTTAAAGGGGGGGGGGGGTGTTGTGGGGATCGAACCCACAACTAGGTTAATAGGCATCATTGTTTCTCGTCCTTGCAGTAAAAAGTCAATTGCTGTATTTCTTTTATGTACTCTTGTAATTGTTCTACGTTTTATGACATGCCCAATTGCCCCATGCATTGGATACTTCATACGTTTATGGGCAACTAAGAGAAAAATTTGTGTAGGACAGTTGGATTACATGTTGTGTCAGAATGCTTTCGCAAAAACAGTCTCATGAACTTTGGGGTCCCATCCGACCCCTCTTATCTTACACTATTTGTGGAGAGAGAACTTGGTCTCATCCGACCCTTGCGAGAGATGTTGCACCACAATAGCCGTACCAAAGATTTGCTCGGCAACGATAAGGAGGAATTTTTGTCCAAAAACTAGTAAGCCATATGTGGGGCTAAGCTAACATGTCCGAAAGAACTGCTGTTTTGTATTGAAGAGAAATTATGGAGACCGCATGTAACCTGTTTGGTGGCATTACTTTTGTGACAGTTGTGTTCTTCACGGGAAATTTCTGAAATGTCAACTTCGCCCAACGTGGGGGCCTTTGTCTTCTTGGGTTCGTATAGGCACAAGGTATGGGATTGAGCGAGCGGTGTGGAGCCTACATAGAATTTTCGATTATTTTGAATATAATGAAATTGAAAATCTAAGTGCTTGAAGTATATGGAAGAGCTTTTGTGATTATCCATAAAACATTTTCATGATCTGAAGCATTTTCAAGTTTTTATGTCAAACATTGCAAAAAGAGTGTTTAGTTGTTCGAAAATGTTTTTGATCATTTCAAAAACAATGCAAGTAGTGGTTTATCTTGATGGTTAAGACCTTCTTTTTTAATCCACTGCGTCTTAAGTTCGAATCTTCACTCTTTTGCTTAGTGTAAATTAGTGTAGAATATCACTTGTACAGATAAAAACAAGAATAATGCTAGGAGATTACATTAGTAGACAAAATTTTATAAACTAAATGACATGAAAGTTGATGATTGGGTTATTACTTAAGTGTTGATAAACATGTTTAATCCTATAGTGACAAATTATTTAGTTTGTAAATTTTATTTATAAATTTAATCTCCCTAACATTACCTAAAAAACTAACATGAACCTGTTGATAAGTGATCTATTATATTTATCTTCGTTCGATCCATTTATATGATGGGTTGGGCTTGGTTGGGTTAGAGTCATGGTGCTTTGACTGATCAGTCAAGCCATCATACGGTTCATAACCATTTGGACCAAAGAAAATTACGGTTCATACCCATTATGTCAGATTTATTTATTGGCGGAGATAGCGTAATTCAAGCTAATATTATCAGAAATGCTTTTAATTTTCAGAAGTAATTTTAAAAATGAATATCAATTGGTTGAGGATGGATTCAAATTTAAATTCATCCATTAATGAAAAGAAAAGGTTAAAATTTATTTTCCGAACTTTAAAACGAAATCAATCTCGTGCTACCCTCTTTTACCAAATTATTTCTTCATTTTTTAATTATTTTTTATAAAAAATGTGTAATAATTACTATGATATTTTCTTCAGTTATCTAAAGAAATAACTTAGAGAACTTTCCTAGGCATGCGCAGCAGCACAGGCTGATCGGGGATGTAGACTGGAATAATTTAGTGCTCCCACTCCTACAAAAGCTGAAAAATTAAGGGTTATCCAGCAGTGACATACAAAAGCATGTAGTCCTTAGGAATATTTTCACCCTGTGTGCTGAAATTAAACTGAATGCCCTTGTTCTTGCCATTATCTGACAGCCTAATGTTTTTTATAAACGATAGCATTAGAGTTTAAATTGTTAAACGTTAGGAAGGAGGAAGGCTAGTGGGGTTTAAGCCCGCCTCAGGATGCATCATTACTTTACTGCTAAAGCGCCGTCAGCTCTAACAAAGCCTATTGGATATTGGTACTTTAGAATTTGTTGGGCCCTTTTAGAGCAGTGTCTCTATCTCTTCATGTTTTATTATCCCTCAGCCGGAAACGAAAGCAACTTTGGATTGCGCTTAATTCAAACAAAGTTGATTAAGGTCTCACCCACCCGTTGAGAGCTAGAACAATGACAGATCCATGATTCTAACTTCAAAGGGTCTTAAACAATTATATTTTCTTTTAAATGGAAATAACGTGCAACGCACAAAAGTTTTCACTATTCTAAATTTGGTATTTCGTCGAGCATTTAGTTTGCATGTTGTTCCTTGTCGAGTCATGTTGCATTCACGTTAATAGATGTCAACATTTGTCGTGTTGTAGATAGGTCTTACATAATTCTATTTAGTGACTCTCCTAAGTACTACCGAGATCCCATGCCGAGTGGCGCATGTGTAGACCCATCTTACTGAGAGATATTGATGCATCCTGCTGAGTGTTATCTAAATATGCTAAACATGCGTTTCATCGAATATTTAGTGAGCACAAAAGAATCCCTAAGGACCTTTACTAGCTTTCTCCTGACCTCAGAAGGGTCCCGAGATCACCCTGGGTCACTCTGTGGATCCACCCTAGCCTTGGCTATATATGGAGTCGTCTTCACTTCAGCTAGGGCTTTTCCTTTGAAACCAAATTGAGTTTTGATTTCTTATTTGAATTATAGTAGTTAAAAATATGACCGTACAAAAGAAACACATCAATTGCCTTGTTCTTTTGTCAGCCTCCCTTTCAAGTGATAAAAAATGCACTGGTTTCTAACCATCTCCAACCCTTAATGATAAAGCTTAAAAATTTAAGCCAAAAAAATTTAAGTCATAAGTCAGAAATTGTTTTTCTCCTCCAACCTTTGTGGCTTAAAATTTTAGCACATGATGATCAAATAATGATTTTAGCCTAACTTTTTGTTTTCAGTAATTTTTTTAATATAAAATTTATGTAGATTATCTTAATTTATTTTTATGAACATTTAGGCTAAAAATATTAAAATTCCGATACGTAATTAAAAAGCATACAAGTACATAGGCACTTATAAAGTTTTAAGTTAAATTTGATTTAAATAATTTTCTTAAACTATTTTAGACGTTAGACCTAATTTTGAGCAGGCAAATCTTTTTTTTTTTTAAATTATTAGATTTGATCTCATTTGATCATAACCGTTAGATTATAAGTAAAAAACAAAAAAATGTTTGAAATATGACAGTTTGGTGGATCCAGAATAATTTAAGTCAGACTTAAATCCTAGGAGAAATCTAGCCCAGAGATATATTTTATCCTCATGCCTTATTTTAACCCATGGTTAGAGATAGTTTGAGGGAATTTTAAAGCTTATATTTTATTTCGACAAATTAAAAATAAATAAAAATTATATTTTAAGCTTTATCCCATGAGTTTAAGATTGTCTAAAACAATAACTTTATTCACTTAGGTTTAGCAGAATAAACTATAGTAGTGTGCTTTACTTCATACACTCAAGTCCGAATTCCTTTTACGTAGTAGAATGAACATAAGATGGGTATGAAATAAATAAATAGAAACATTAACTTTCAGAAATTTTTACACGCAGAGAGAAACATTTTCAATAAAGAATCTTTTCTGGTCATTGCTGACGCAAATTTCTATTACCAATTCAACAACCTTTGAACAGAAAGACAATCCAGAGTGTACAGAAGACAAAACCACAACCAGTTGGAGTTACAAAGAAGGCCGTGCTGTAATGTAGTAAGGCTCACATTAGCAAATCTGCACCCCCTCTCAAAACGCCCTGAGGCTCGGCAAAGACTATTTGTCCTGATCTGGATTCATGCTTATCTTGAGGTTGCATGAACCATGAAGGGTCTAATACCTGGCAGTTTTTGACACGACACGAAAATGATACGAAAATAACGGGTTTCGGGTCAACACGATAACTTATCGGGTCACTATCGGGTGACCCGTTAAACCCGATTTCTTTATAAGCGCGGAGCCATCTGTCATGTCATACAGTGCAACGTACCATGCATTCCGATCGAGTCGCATCGCCATGCACTGCGAGTTATCAGCCCACCGCAATAGTGGAAAAAACCTGTTTCGGACCATCGTTAAGAAAAAAGGGCATATAGTCTCATAATAATTTTAGAAAAGTTTGACCATGTTACATTGTCAAAGACTTTACTGTGATAAAATACAATTGATGATCCATCATATTAATATATACAATATATTCGTGGACATATGTAAATATACCACCTAGGTTTTTGTTTATTGTTCTATATACTGTTTCGTATAACCCACGATGTCAGCTAAAGTTTTAGTCGACTAGTCCATTTATGGAACTTTATTGTAAGCTGAGGCAGATTCCTTAATTATATTCGACCCTTACTTAGGATAAATGTATCACATTATAATCTCAATCATTCTTGGATCGCCACATAATTGAAAAATATTACTAGCGACTTACCGGAATAATGGTGGACCGTATATTTGTAGCATATGCCATGTCAAGAACTAAGAAGACATAGCACTAAAGTATAGTGCCAGAAACCCAATGGTGAAAGATGTATCGAACTAATTGGAGAGCTCGATCGACTTTCCGCGTCCGACTATTGCGAATGTCAATTTCCTTTCACGGACAATGTCAGAAGTGCGTTAACAATCGCATGTCGCATTACCCCATTATCGCTTTAGTTTTAAAGACAATTCGTTCCATCTAAACCGCATACATGCAATTAACATGATTGATTAGATTTTCAGTTATATGATGGACAAGTAATGTAAAATTAATAATAATAGTTGGCTAATGCCCTAAATCCGTGATAGCCAATCAAGCATGTAATTCAAGACTTATATATACAATCACTCATATATAAAAATGTAAATGACTAGTCCATTTAAATTAAAGCATCAAATTATTCATTACAGTGTCACTTGACCTAGAGTCGAGCATGTAGCTGTACCATCACTGGATATGTCCAGACAATCATCAGAGCATGCATGCGGAGCATAGGCTAACAACGCATTCACGCGTAAAATGTCGACTTTGTGATTTTGTGCCGAGAATTGTCATATTAGACAAGTGACACCAACTTGATCATTGTTTCCAAGTTACGCTTATCCTGCTAGAATAGTGTCGTCGTGTGTGTTTTTAAACAATTTTTTACCGTTTGCAATGCTCGGAGCATGTTCCGAATGACAAATGTAAGTCTCCATGTTGACCTGGCTTAGAGGTGCCAGCTCGAGTTTGAAAAAGTTTCGTAGAATGCGAATAATTTT